CAAATGAGCGCACTAGACACAGTTGTGGGTGTGGGTGTGCGAGAAAAGAGAGAGACAGAGAGAGAAAGAGAGAGAGAGAGAGAGAGAGAGAGAGAGAGAGAGAGAGAGAGAGAGAGAGAGAGAGAGAGAGAGAGAAGAGAGAGAGAGAGAGAGCCGATTCTTGAATTCGTTTTTCTAAAATTGAGGCGTTCACCAATCATACAATGGTTATTTGTTCATGAGTGCCAGGTCAATTCAGTTTGTGTCACTTTGTAGTATCAATCGGCTTCGCCTTGTGATTTATCCTTCCGTCACCACATCCAATTTTGTCCAATCATGCAATTGTATTTTTAGTCTCGCCACTTTAATTCAAATCTCGTCACATTCGAGCAGCCATTGGCGTCGCCTTTTTGGGTTTTCCCTCTCGGCACATTCAAATTTTTCATTGTATTGGGTAATGCATAGGAACCGAATGTATAAATGATCGTGTAGAAGGGGAGCTTTGTCGGGCCAAAGAATTGACAGCATTCAATGTCGAAATCACAAAGCACACAGTGCGGAGGGCACGATGGGCCATCAAATGTATAAAGAGGCCCGTGTGTTGTATTTTTTTCTCTGTGACGCCTCACAACATTCAAAGTGAAAATGCATACATGAGTGTAGACGACGGAGGAGGTTCGAGAGAGAGGCAGAAAAACATAGAGTTAATTTGAGTCCGGATGCATCCGAGTATGCGGGCAAAACATCACACCACATAAGGCACAAAATGACGAAAGCGTGATATTCAATCATGAAACAGGCGCCCCAACAACAGGGACGTTCGTGATAATTGAAATCCAATGAGAAAGAACAATATTGTCGACGACAAACACGCCGGGGACATGACAAGCTCACCCGGAGATATCCTGGCAGTGACAGCCAGTTCTGCTCTGAACCAAACCGAGAACACCCACCAGTCCCTCACGAAAAAAATGAAAAGGAACAAATTTCGTCTGGAGAACAACGAAATATTCTTCTACGTCAACCCTTCTACACTACATGATCAACAAAGAGATAGACGCTTACCTACCGACATGGCAAATCGCCAAAGCTAGTCTAGCTCTGATAGAGGAGATGTATCTATGGGAGAAACCAAAAGGTGGACGTAAACCTCTCGCCAAACAGGAAGCGAACATCAACATGAACACCCCACAACTAGCCCCGTCGTGCTGCCGAGGGACACCTTTCACGCTGACCTCCCTAGCGAAGTGGTCGAAAGTGCGACCATCACCGGCGGCACCTGCCACCGTGTTCAAAAATTCAACAGTTTTATCCAGAAGTGCGGAGTAGAAGAAATCTTTGGATGACGAACAGGAGAAAGAATCATAGATTTCCAAAACACGTCTAGAGAAGTCAATCGCCTAAAGGCTCCAGTGTTCGCCGTCCTTGTGCACTGGTGCCAAGACGAGGTCATGAGACAGGAGGTCGACATCTTTAGCCCATCCGAGAACAGCTGCCGGACCTCGCAGAAGCAGTGAAGAGGCAAAGAAGGCGTTAAAGGTGTATGTCTTCATGATAGCGGCAGTCCGGCCGCACTCGTCCAGTAGCATCACCATGTAGAAATTGACAACCTCATCGTTGAGCTCCCCGGATCTATCCACGAGTGCGACGATGTCCTTGACAGATACCTGTAAACTGTGCGACAGCGAACACGCAACGATGATAGTAAGCGGCAACCGGGAGCAGATAACGTCTTCAAGGACCGCTCTTCCATCTCGAGGAAACCCTGTTCAACAAACACCCGTAGTACACAGCAAGCACAAAGGACGGGGCACTATGAGAAAATGCTGTCCTGGCGGCCATGGTCCGAGGAACCGCTACTCTGTGGTCCGAAAAGTTCACGCATAACGTCACCCCTACTTTTGGACCTTCTACACACAGTTGATTGTAAACTAGCACTGTCCTTTATATCCCTGCAAGCCTCGAGAAGGAATTCCTTGCAGTCTTTTTCGGCAACACCCGCTGCCTCTGCAACGAGTCTTGCGCGGAAGCCCAATACGGGCACGACTACCCTTCTGGGAGGGCCTCGAGGCTTAGTGTCCCCAGGAACGAGTGTTGGTCCTTGGTCTACGCCCGATGGTTTTTGGGGGCGATTCGATGAGGGACCTAGCTAACGCGTTAAACACTCCGCCTGGGGAGTACGGTCGCAAGGCTGAAACTCGAAGGAATTGACGGGGACCTGCACAAGCGGTAGAGCATGTGGTTTAATTCGATACAACGCGCAAAACCTTACCAGCCCTTGACATATGAAAGAAACTCCTCGTAAGAGATGTACTTTGACTTCATACATATAATAAAAGCAACTAATAATGCTGGTTACTACTCCTATTAAGGCTAATAAATAAGCTCTGCAACCTAGAGCAGCAAAAAAGAGATAAAATTTGCTGCAAAATCCTGCTAATGGAGGTACCTGCTAATGAAAACATAGTAATAGACATTGTAATAGCTAAAATAGGATTCATCAACGCTAACGCGACTAAATCCGCTATATATTTTAAACGATTTTGGCGTAATATGGTCAAACATCTTTGCATGTGTTCTCAGATAAAATAGATTATGCTCAGGCACAAGCATCTACTCCTTATGGAATCTTAGGTGTCAAGGTGTGGGTCTCATATTCATAAAATCAACCAAAACACATATGCTATATCCAAAACGTACAAAATTTCGTAAATATCAGAAAGGACGAAGCAAAGGCTCCCACGCGGCGGCACAACTTTGTTTTGGAAAATATAGTCTTAAAAGTTGTGAAGCAGGTCGCATATCATATCAAGGAATTGAAGCGGCGCATCGTGCCATCACCAGGAAATTTCGGAGAAATGGTAAAATATGGATAAGAGTTTTTTAAGATATTCCTATTACCAGCAAACCTACAGAAGTAAGGATGGGAAAAGGAAAAGGAAACCCTACAGGTTGGATTGCTCGTGTTTCCCAAGGACAAATCGCATCAGTGACATTGCGACGACCAGTGCCTCCCGCAACCAGGACTGACAACCTGGCGAGGGCAGGCGGCTCCTGCGACATGTGTGTTTGTCCACGAGCTCGTCGACCTGTACAAGAAATAGCCACCCAGAGAGTTCAGCAGGAGATCAACAACACAAGTTCGCAAGAGCGACCAAGCAAACAGCACCTCACGAAGCACATCGTCACAATCCAGTTGGCGGCCGCCTATACACCTCCCCGAAATCGACGAAGCAAACAACACTTCACGAACGGGCTGACGAGCCGGAAGAAAGCAGAGAAAGTCAGTGCTTACCAGGCCTAGCTACCACTTCACTAGAGCCCACCAACGGCAGTCCCAACACGATTGCACCCCTGCGCGCGTCGACGCGGCGACGACGTGCTCCAAACCCACAGGGAAATTTGACAGGCTCAAGATGTCGGCGTCGATGACCGTAGACGGTATATTCGTCTCCGGACAAAGAGCGTCGATGTCCACAACATCGACAGGTTGTGTTTTCTCCATTGCCACTTTGTCGTATTATGTTGGGCTCAATGTCCCATGGATGTCCAACAACACCTCTCCCCCCCTTAACTTCTTGTCCCCGTACGCTGTGTCTTTGTCGTCGTTACTCAAATAGAGAAATCTATCTCCAACAGTGTCAAAGGCCTTCTTCAGAACGTCCTCCCCCATCGCCTCGTTGTGAAGGGCGGAGTACAAGGGATCGTCGTATCCCGACTGAACTGGTAGCTCCATCCCGACGTTGCTAAGTGTCAGATCAATCCGGTCGTCGGCGGAATTGTCCTTATCCAAAGTCGTAAGTAGTCGACAACCCTCAACGCCTGCCAGTTGAAGTCCTTCGTCTGTGTGCCTTGGATGAATCCAAATCACGGTCGTCTCCAAAGATGCATCAGGGAGGAACATGTTCACAGGGCCCTGGTTCGGATTCATCCGAGCCCCCGCAGTTTCCAATGACGCCGACATGACCGCTTTCACCGAGGAGTCGCTTACGACTGCTAACTCGGCTCCGAGTGTGTTGGGCTCGACATTGGAATTGGTAGCCAACTCACCCTCAGTCGGACAGTCCGCCTGCAGCTCCTTATGGGCTTCCACGCACAGCATTACTGCATCCTGACACCGATCGTCTGTCATGGCAGACACGGCTTCCTGGTTCGGATGAATCCGAATTTCGTCGCCAGGGTTTTCGGAAACCCGGACCACCCGTTCGAGTCCCCTGCAGTTTCCAATGACGCCGACATGACCGCTTTCACCGGGGAGTCGCTTACGACTGCTAACTCGGCTCCGAGTGTGTTGGGCTCGACATTGGAACTGGTAGCCAACTCACCCTCAGTCGGACAGTCCGCCTGCAGCTCCTTATGGGCTTCCACGCACAGCATTATTGCATCCTGACACCGATCGTCTGTCATGGCAGACACGGCTCCCTGGTTCGAATGAATCCGAATTTCATCGCCAGGGTTTTCGGAAACCCGGACCACCCGTTCGAGTTCTGTAGATAGCTCTGCTCCCTCGATGGCACGGCCTTCGTGGTTCGGATTAATCTGAACTTCCTTTTGAGGCGAAACGGAACACGGTTCCAGCTTGTCGCTGCCGGACCCGTGGTGTGTTGTCGTCTCGCTTCCCGGAAGGCACTGAGTTCCGGACAACGACGTCGTCTCCGAGGTTCGGATTGATCCGAGACAATCCGCCAACCGTTTTTGGAGCTGAGCGAAGCATGTTCCATGCTTTGCGACACCCGCCCCGCCAACYGCATCGACAAAYTGTGTTTCGCTGGTGGAGCTAATCACAGGGTCCTGCTCGCCAGGCCGCGTAATACACCCAGGCCTCAAGTCGTTCCCTGTCTCCATTGAGGTGCTGCCTGTTACCGCCAGAACCCCACCGTCCTCGTCACGGTTGATATCGGACCCCTGCCCGTCTCCTCTGTGATGCTTCGTCTTCTCTCCGCTGCAAGGCTTTTTCTTCTCCCGGCTGCCCTTCTTCCCCTCTCCGCCGCCTGCGTGCCCCGGAGACCGCTGTTTCGTCGAACGCTGTTCACTTCCACCTCCGGTACCTCGTTGCCCGCCGCCTTCACCATCCTCGTCACCGTCCTTTCCGCGAGACTTGCGCTTCACAACTCCTGCCGACGGGGTGACCTCAGGCAACTCCCAACTCACTTGCTTAATTGACGGGCTTGACGGAAGGGCGTAGAACGCGGAGGACACTTCCAGCCATTTATTTGACTGCAATAACTCGAACATCGTGTCCCCGTATTCGCGAAGAGCAGGGTCGTCCTCACTTCGTCGATTGACCTCACTTAATCTCTCCAATACCGCATCGTAGGCGCCAGATTCGAATGTCTCGAGGTCCCAACGATCGTCATAAATCCACCCTCCACTTGCGTCCCTCACAGCCACTGCCCATTCGCCGTCGAGAAGGACTGGCTGGAAATGGTCTGGGTGCCACACGATATCATGGCCCCAATCTTCGGCTGTGGAGAAGGTGTGTTTGTCGCCCATGTGGAAGGGAGTCGCAAGAGCCTTGAGATGCGGATGATCCGGAGGAACTGGATGGCCGGGTCGAAGACATTCGGGCTGCAGCGTGAGACGAATAGGCTCCCCCGGCGAACTCCTCAGACGGGACAACCCACCCCTCTTGACAGGCGCTGAGGAGGACACGGGCGTGGGACCGCGCGAGGTAGGTGTAGCAAGAGGTGTCCCCGGTTTGCATACTGATGGCGACTCAAAAACTTGGGCATTGAAGATGGCCAATTGCCCGTCCAAATCGAAGAGGTCGTCCTCAACGCTCTCCTCCTGCTCAGTCTCGATATTGAAATCGTCCTCCTCACCGAATGCCAGCTTGTACTTATCCAAAGTGAAGTCGGCTGGATCGACAACATCCTCGTTAAGAAAGACATATTCCAGCCTCTTAATGAAGCTCACAGCGTCGGCCCGACTCGCTCCGTGGTAGCCCTGGAGGACCGCAATGGCGACTTCCTTCCGCACCACGTACTGCGGGTCAAATCTTAACCTTGGTTGTTCCCCGTAAAGGAAGGAGTAGACCGGGCGCCTTTTCTTCGGAGTCAACTTGAAGAACATGTCCTTGTTCGGGTCATAAACGGGCTCGACCACGATATGGTGGAAATCGCATGGGTAAGCCTTGGACGACACTTCATGGGTGACATACTGCACGGTGTATTCGAGCTGCGTTGTGTCGCCATCCACGGCCAAGACGTGCTTTCCTTGCTGAAGCAGACTCCACACCACCGGCGCATGCGGCTTGCCCAAGAACAGCACGGCATCCGCCACACCATAGAAGAAAAGAAGATGATTGCACAACTTATTCGGATTCCGCTCACCGTCCTTGTACAGAGCCCCCCTCTGGGTCAGGTTTCCGATGTCCGCGAAAGTCAAGGACTTGAAAGACTTCTCCTCCACATCCGTGGGTGTCACTTTCTGTTTCCTTCGGAGAGCGGCGGCGTCGTCTTCAGCAACAGCTCCCTCGTACACCGGGTGAGTCAGTAGCCGAGGATCCTCGCCTTTGAAAAGGATGTGCATCACATCCGGCTCCTCCCAGACGCTGTTTCCGAACTGATGCGTCTTCTTC